TTGATATGCAACTGAGCTCATAACCAAAAAGTAAGGCAAGAATTATGTGGTACTTGAATGAATAGTACCATATGTATGGTGGAAAAACAACAGCTTCGCAAGGATGGAAGAGAAGCGAGGAAGCGAGCGAGCCTACGAATTTCGTGGGACCGGTTGGAGCCAAATGTGGCCACGCGGGAGACATGAAGCAACAAACGAGATTTCGGCAATTAATTATCTTGCTAAATGTGTCATGAATGACGTGTTAGGGCTTTGATTTTGCGTATTAAGATATAAGATATCAAGATATAATATTTGGGTATGAAGATATAATGTTTGTGTATGAAGATATATGTTTGCGTATGAAGATATGTTTGAGTATGAAGATACATTGTTTACGTGTGAAGATATAATGTTTGTGATGAAGATATATGTTTGCGTATGAAGATATATGTTTGAGTATGAAGATATGTTTGAGTATGAAGATACATTGTTTACGTGTGAAGATATAATGTTTGCGTATAAAGATATAATGTTTGTGTATGAAGATATAATGTTTGTGAATTATGATATAATGTTTGTGTATTAAGATATAATGTTTGTGTATGAAGATATAATGTTTGCGCATGAAGTTATAATGCTTATGTACTAAAATAAAACGTCATAGTTTTACGCCCTAAAACGATTTGATATTTCGGCACCTGAAAGCCATTATAGAGAAAATATATCCTTTGTTTGTCTTAAATGGAGCCACTACGGCTGAGTTACACCAAGCATTGAAATTATGAGAAAATAAATTCTAATCTTTATCAAATTTTACCCTAACAATTTCTCTGTAATCCATCAAATGACAAGAGGTTTTACAATGATTTGATTAATGTTAACTATCAAGATTCAACCAAATCTATTTATAATGATTAATTCAGAAAATAACTATGAATTCAATATTGTTTTCTTTGCAATTTAAAATGAGTGACGTTTCAAAATTGACATTTATTCTTAGTCTACATGACATGGACCTAGCCTAGGGATCTGTTTACGGGAATTTTGTTGCGTAATTGGGCCCCCTGGGTAATATAATTATTACTAACTTTACCAGTGATTATTATTACTTATTTCACACAATGATTTACTCTTGAGGGTAATTAATTGAATAATTTGTCGTTCGTGAGATTTTGGAAGATAAAAATAATTAATCAAAACTTAATAAATAGTTATAGCTAAACAGGAGAAAAAAATTAAATAAACAATGGGAATTAATTTGTCCATTACACGAGACAATTCCCGTACCCTGCCGAATGAATGAAATTTTGTTCATATATTTTTCATTATAAACTTTGCTGTTAAATTTTTCTAGTGAGGTCTCTTGCCTGCCGCTCATGCCCTGCTGTGTGATTGCTACTGCAATGCACTGATTGACATTGCGCTCACCCCTGATTGTCACCGCGTGATGCCTTGATTGTCAGTCCCACTCTCATGCAGTAACAATTACAGGCTGAAAAATTGTCAGCTAAATGCTGCTGAGAAAACTTTTTTGACCGATCGACCTGAATATTGAATAGATGAGAATACATCTCTATGTAATGTTTACATCAGTGGAAAAATGATTGATTATTTGAAAAAAATCCCTAATGCGATGCCTTATTACGGTTAATAGCGACAAATGCAGGGTTTCAAAGATATCTAAAATTGTCCTTGTTGAAACAGTTTTAAATGCATTCACAACCTCTGGCAAACTAACTTCGATGTTGACTTGAGACATAAAGCTGTACGACTGCTTCTCCATATTCTTTGTATTGACTTTTGTTTTTGTAATAAATTTTGTCCAACTGCGGTCAGGGACAGTTAGTCTACGATACATTCTCCACCAGTTGCTCCATTCTGCGTCATTTAACATCGTAACTCAGGTCCGCGTGATGTTCACTTGAAGCAGATAGGGTTAAGCAAAATGTTATTATCAATCCTCGTACAACCGATGTTTTCTGGGAATATATTGGTTGTTCGCCATAAATTGTTACAGCGAGACACTTTTATATATGCATAGCATTGTTGGTTAATTCGCATAATTTGTATGAATTGTGAGCCTTTATTATGAAAATGTCTCTATTTTCTGCCATCTATTCTCATTTTTCCAGTTCATCCCCAAAGTTAAACTTTTATCCACTTAAAATTCATTTCATCGTAAGACATAGACGCAAATTTTGCAGCATGCTGCATAAAATGTAATCTTGAAGGAACATATGAAGGAATCACCAAACGTCATGCATGAAGCTCTTAGCTTATTACTCACATTAGGAAAGTTCAGCAAGGTTATTATGTCGGCTGCGTGACTGTGACCAGCGCTGTCACACGCGCTCGCAAATCCTTACCTCAAAGATCAATACCCGCAATGCGTTACGTTATCATTGCATTACTGTCACTTCTTCATTGCATTCATTCATGTACCTGCATAGAGGCAATACCAACTATGCTGATCAGCCCTCCTGCGTCTGACCCTGAACATTCGTACTTCAAAATTTCCTCGATCAGTTTATAAAAGCGCAGTTCTGCTCTACAATGTATCCCAATGTCACGTATTCAAGTTATTGTAATACTACTTCCTTTGCTTTGGTCAATTCTTGCTTAGTCTTATTAAGAATGAAAATCACGCAATTGTGATGTTATTTCTTTACATCGCAAGTACAAACCTGGTGTTACATGACACATGCAACTACGAGCCAAGTAATGATCAAGTCACGAAAAATTCATGAATCGGCAACAGGCCATGAGCCTATCTTCTTCAATGCCGACACTTCTATTCTTCATATTACACTTCATATTCTTCATATTACAAGTAAAAATCCACAGGTCACTCTGAGCCAGGTTATGATGACCTATGAACAGTTCAAGTAACAATCCACAGGTCACTATGAGCCAGGTTATGATGACCTACGAACAGTACAAGTAACAATCCATAGGTCACTATGAGCCAGGTTATGATGACCTACGAACAGTTCAAGTAACAATCCACAGGTCACTATCAGCCAGGTTATGATGACCTACGAACAGTACAAGTAACAATCCATAGGTCATGCCAGGTCAGCAGGCAGTTCCACTTCCGCACTGACCGGCATGCCTGCCGTTGGTCGATGCGCGGCGCGTCGGAAGCGTTGTTGCTTATGCTTTATGTATACTAACATTTTCATCCGTCGTTGCGAGGCTAACAGATCAAGTATATTTATATCCGATTTGAATTTTGTTTATTTGTGGCCTTATTAAAATTTGATGGATCTAATGAAAACTCCGATGAAAGGCTTTCGAAAATATTAGGAAATAATAATAAACCTAAAAAAAGGCTAAATCTTTCATAGGAATAAAGAAAAATGTTACCCGAGGCCCATAGAGTCAAATTATGTGTAAAAAAATCGAAAAACTTTGCTGTTGCCGTCAAGGATGAGTATTATCGTGCGATGTGTCTGCGTACTTATACATTTATAAATGCCATCCCGCATCCATTCAACATGAAATATCTCTTATAAAGAAACAGATACATTTCAGAGTCAATACTGTCACGGCCGGGGGCTGTCATGGCGCCGTTCTCCTATTGCGTATCCAGGGCAGCGGTTCACTGTGACACGTATTGTTGACCGCGGTCAGCGCAGGCTGAACTGTCCCGTTTTATATTGTCTGGCTCAAGTGGAGCGCAAGCGCTGGCCTGAATGTCAGACATAATTTACTGGGTGCAAAATTCCACGCTAAGACTGGGACTCAATAATGAGTTCTTTAATGCTAGACAATGTGCGCAGGTCTTCAATGGTTCAGAGTGCTGGTATTTGGGTTAAGAGTTGGTCGTTACACTCGAAGATGTATTCTTTCAGAGCCTTTCCTTTGAGGTCTCAGCTAGGGTTTGCTAAGGTTTAGATTACGGATAAGACATTTTAACTTTTGAGTTATGTTAATAGAGTACTGAACTATTATTTTCAGAGAGCTTGTCCTGCGTTGGGCTGTAAAGGAGGAGCTAGGCAAAATTGAGGGCTGCTATTTATTGTCAGTATGGCGTTGGTAAAACGCCGGTGCGAGGGAAGCTAAAACCGGTTTGCTATTAGACTAATTCAGGACAAGGCCTACCGCCCTGCACATGATGATAGAAAATAACAGTTTCTATAGGCGCACGCAGGCCAGTAGGAGTCTGTTCGTGACATGGACCACGCAATTGTAATTCTACAGGAGCAGCCGGCGGGGCTGAATTAAGATTCTCGGATACATTGATTAATCATATTAGTCATTGATCATATGTATATTTGTACAAGATATTGAAAATCGAACGAGGATTTTAAAGTAAAGTACACATGAAAGTCTGTATTTATGTTACCATGTCATGTTAGTGGATCAAAAGACTCACAGCGTTTTGAATGATTCATTTTATAAATTGGATTTGACTCCTTTAGTGTTAATAACTTTAGAGCTATTCTCAGGGTCACATTCTGCTCGAATGTCACGCAAGTTTGCGTGACGAACCATTCGTGCCCCCGAAAGTAAACTTGCTGCCACGGTGCCACGGTGCCTATGTGTACACGGCAATTACGTCAATAGCAAAGCGACTCAGTTTAAAGTTTCGTTTGGTGAGGCAAACTGATCGCATATTTGTGTTTCTTTTCCTTGCGTTCCCTGTTGAATTGTCTGGTGTATAATAATCATAACATCACCCCTTTAACAGATATTTACTTGAGAAGATATCAAATATTATACGCAGGTTTTGTGCTTCGCATACAACCTTGGCCTCAACTTGAATGTAGACATTATTACCAGATGAACAGTCATTGAAAACCTGCATTAGGATTGCATTCAAACCTCACGCTATAATACCTGAAGTAGACATTACTTTGAAATATTCAGAAAAAGCTGGATTTCTTCACAACAGTACTTATTCTTTTGTTTAGTTTATAGGGTTTGTAAAGAAATGAGTGTGCGATGCTGAAATCAGACCCCCAATACGAAGGGATCTCACCCGTTTACGTCGCCCCCTCCCCTCCCTTCATCAGAGTTGATGAGGCCCCCTCCCGCCCCACCTCCCTCCAATGCCCCCCAAAGAACCCCAAGAACATAAATGCAGTTCTAAGACAAGACCCCTCCTTTTTGGGGGTGGTTGAGAACCTAGAACCCGACCCCCAATCCCCCCCAGTCACGGCACGACTCGTCCAGGCCGTGACCACGACCATCTTCGTCGGGTCGATGGCGACCATCGCGCTCACGGTCGTGGGGCTCCTCATGTCGGTTGGTATTAACCCTTTTAAGACTGAATAATTTAACAAATAATGAATAATTGCCATGATTATTTCATTTTAAATTATTAACATCAACGTTCTAGTCGCAACGAGTGTATGTACAGTGGTTTATACCTATGCTGACCGACTAGGTTTAGGATGGTCCAAGTTAGTAATTCTTATGATTCAACTCTAAAGATGACATCCTTTTTCTTTTGTCCATGACACTCAAGAAATTTGTCGCTGAAAATTACTTCATTTATTTAAATTGTGTTTGATGAGCCCGCAATACCATTTTTTATAAATTGCCGTTTTTAATACCATGTTTACCACGCAAAATTGTAGAAACGTGTTTTAAAAAATCACGCTAATGAAGATAGTGACTTCAAGCAGTTTTAGAATATATATCATGTTTATCACGCAAAATTATAGAAACGTGTCTTAAAAAAATCACGCTAATGAAGATAGTGACTTCAGACAGTTTTAGAGAAATTTTCACAGTAATTATATGACTGAGTTATTGCTGGGGGGCGGGGGCAGATGGGGGGCCAGGAGCACCTGCTGTGGGGGGCGCTGACGGCGCTCCTCTGCCTCGCCACCGCCGCCCTCGTCCGCTGGTCCGGACACCCGCCCACCCACACCGCCGTGCTGCAAGGTGGGTGCTGCAAGGTGGTGCTGCAAGGTGGTGCTGCAAGGTGGTGCAAGGTTTGCTGCAAGGTGGTGCTGCAAGGTGGTGCTGCAAGGTGGGTGCTGCAAGGTGGGTGCTGCAAGGTGGTGCTGCAAGGTGGTGCTGCAGTAGACAAAGTTGCAGTAAATGGGCATGCATTATGCAAATATGGAGTATAAGCGTATACAGTAAATGAAGGCGTAGTAAATATGCAAGCAAGCGCAGAATAATTTTAAGTGCGCAGAATAATTTATTTACCACAAGTGCAAGTATTATCAACTGATAAAGATTCAGATAATTCGATCGAAGGACTACATATGCACTCGTTGTACAATAAAACAGCCATCGACTTTTCATGCTCATGAGTTCGCATTATTGAAATAATTATGAAAAAGATCAGCTCTATCAGTTTCTGCTCAATAATGTTGGGCGATTTTACGAACGCCATAAAATTTTCAGCCTCAGCGCTGATATTTCTCACTCCTCGCAAATGTACCCAAAAATGAGTGAAGTTCCAACGCGTAATATAGAGGAGACTGCTTAATCATTGTTGATCGTTCGTGCGTAGTATCTTTTTGAATATATTAGATAAATTGGAGTCATAATGAGGCTGCAATTTAATCAGGAATCTCTGCCTTCCAATCAAAGCTTTTGCCCCAGACAAAGCGTACTCAATCAATCTGTTCGTCTATCTCAAGCAATAGTTTGTCAGTCTATTGCTTTTGGTCATTCTATAAAAAATGAGCGGTGGGAATTCTAATTTGCAAGCTCAAGATAGCATTTAATTACAGCTCCGATTAATGGTCGCAGAGAGATAACGCATTATATAATAATAATTTTACCTTCACGGACGAGCTCTTTGTTTCCGCGTTTTGCTGTGGCAGCGGGTTTCTTAAATCATAAATCATTTTAAAATCACGTTTCCGAACTTTCTTCTGCACCCAAAGCTCCAAGCCATAGAAACCGATGGAAGTCTGCTGGACCAAGTCCAGTTTTAGGGCATGAATAGGGAGTGCCTCTCTGTACAAAAAAGCCGGTTATCACGTTGATGAACAGGACACTGCGGTCAATCCTTAGGGTTCGATATGTTAACTATGCACCATTGATTCGTACTAATGAATTATATAGACAGTCAAAAATCCTGAAATTCGACGACATGTACAAATTTAAGCTTATACAGTTTATGAATAGGGCACTTTTTCATGATCAGCGTCTTTTTGAAAATTTTTTTTGCTTCTCTTGTTCCTCATCATTTCCATGATGCCAGAGGCGTTCGTCTCAACCTTCCACCGGTCCGTTTAGAAATAGAGAAAAATGGTACTGTTTGTAATTGTGTAAAACATTTTAATGAACTGCCTGATGATTCCAGAATAAACTCTTCTAAATCCATTTTAAAGAGCCATATTCTTGCTCAATATTAATTTAACTTTGGATATCATATAGTTTTTTTTCTTGTGACAATTTACTTATGATCTGCCTTTACTTTCATACTTGTCACCTATTACGCCTGCGAAGCTTTTTTATAGCTAGTATGGGCTTTTCACCTGGAAGCTTTTATTACCAATTAGAATGTTTTTCTCTTTCTATTGAGTCGTGCTGTGTTGCTTCTGTGTGTGAAAGAATAAAGTAATAAATAAATAAAGAATGTGAAAATCTGCGGAAATAAAATGATAATAGGCTGATATAAAACTCATCAGGAGAGTAACTGTCAATCTTTAACAATTAAATACTGGTTTTTATTTTGGTCAGTAATTAGTTAATTAATGTATTGTGGAACGGGGAAACTTTTTTCTTGGTTGATTTTTTATTTATTCTCGAGTCATTGATTTTCATTATGATTTCCTATAATGTTGCCCTTACCTTGCGAGTAATAATAATTGGGCACTGAACTCATTAATGCGACAAGATAATCGGATACTATGCATTAGTATTTGCTCTGTTTGATTAGTAGTAGTTACTTAATTGATACTCACAAAAAATTTTTTCCAAATTTTTGAAGCAACTCAATAGAAGTTCATGTACAAGACTCGCAGCTCCATCGTTTGTATCAGAAGACGAGCGAGTCGATGAGACTCTCATCAGCAAGACAAGTTTTCTCGCCGCCATTGACACCGTTCTTTATACAGGCTCGTCAGCGTTGTAAGCGTTCATGCTAATTTATTAAGGAAATATCGTGCCCTGCAATACAGCGGCACCGACATCGATTGGCTGCTTGCTAATGCACTTGAATGACATGTGCACGAATAATAACATCGATAATTATGTTCATTAACTTGTATGGAGCTTGTGACCTTCAATCGTTAATTTTTCACGTGGACGAAGTTGGGTTTGGCTTTATGCTTGAAAGTTTGTATTTAATAAGTTAATCTGGGCATGAAAATTTTACTCGTCAAATTCAGTTAATTCAAAAATAATTGTTAAATTAAAAAAGTCGCTGCTTGATGACTAATAAATATCTAAATAATTCAGTAGTCTATTCCTAGACGCATGCACGCGAAAACAACACTACGCACGTGGCAAGTGTTCATGGTGGTTTGAAAAATTTACAAGCAATATTGACTACGGTTTACTCGGGTCCAACACTGTTCACGAACAGAGTCTTCCCTCGTCCTACCAACAAAATTTATTGTGGGGTCATAATGCACTTCTGAATTGACTCATAAACTTTCAAGCCTACAATCTAAATGGAAAATGTTGGCCTTGGAGCAATTTACATCGACGAGTTCGTCAAGGATGCAAGACGACATGTGTCCTGTACGAGGCTGTGGCAGGAACAGGCGACCTCCTGACCTCAATATTTCCCAGGAGCTTAACAAGATAAAAAGAATCATGGGAAATTAGGAGACTTGACATCAGACATTTTTTGTATTCAGTGATCTTGTCATTGTTTTTGTTTTTCAGTTAATGTGCTTTCTTGTCTACTTGATTGTGTCATTCTTATTATTATTTGTTTACGAGCGACAAAATGTATTAAAGCTGTTAAATACAGCTCAATATAACGTATTCAATTTTTTTTTGTTCGGAATAAATTAATAAATAATATAAATAATTAATTAATAATATAATTACAATTAATATATAATATAAAAATAATGTTAATAATTAAATTTAATAATAATAGTAAATGAATTGTTCGTGTGTTTTTTTCACACGAATATTCCTTGGGCAAACGATCGATTTAATACCACAAAATAATAATAATTGCGACAATGGCAAGCAAGCACAAACTGCAGTTCGCCCGTTCGTCATAGTAATGGCTGGTCGCGATTTAAGGTTTATCACAGGTTGGGATGTAAGCTACTGTCATATAAAGAAATTACGCTCGATGAATGTATCTTCAATATTTATTTAGGTGTGCATTGATTTTCTTGATTCCTATGTGTTGCTGTGGATGTTTGTGTTGTGTGGATTGTGGATGTTTACGCTCAGTTTTGCCCAGAACTGATGTGGCCTGCGAGACAATTAGCTTTTCGAGTTAGGAAGTTCGGCACTTCTCTGGAGTGAAATTTCGTTGGCAAATTTTTAAGTGAATCTATAATATATTGACATTGCTCATCACAATGCAGGAGATACTTATCATTATCAGTGAAGATTCGCTACCTGAAATTTACTGGTTTGCTTTCCACATATTTTTATTCGTGAACCAACAATGTCACTCATTATGCTGCTTGAAGTGCAGGAGATATACGGCCGCAGTATATGATTAGGATTAGTTTAACGTGTTTGTTGGTTTACAAATTCAGTTAATTATTTTCTAAAGCGAGGTTATTGTGATTTGTTGGAAACTTAAGTCTTCGTTAATAAAAATCCTAGATAATTCAGCATAGTATTGAAATTCGAACAAGCGCCCGGCGGACTATTATCGAAATAACTAATATTGAAATAGTCCTATTCCTATGAAATTCCTATATAGGGATAGGACCATTTCCTTCCTATGAAATAGTCCCATTCCTAGTCCTATGAAATAGTCCGCTATTCCCTTATCATTATTATATAAGATAGTATAAAAAAATTAACTGATAATCTTGATCATGGGAAAAATACTACAACCGTGATTCATATTCTAAAAATGTACAACCAATTCTAATGAAATAGATATATGTACATAATTGCTGTTGCTATGCAGGATATCTGCTGCTGGGCGTGCTGTGCAGCGTAGCATGCGTGCTGCAGCTGCTGCTGCTACTGCTGCTGCTCTCCCTGCCCCCGCCCCCCTCCTTGCACGACCGCTGGCCCTGGGTCCAGTTCCTGGGCGGCGCTCAGGTGATGCTGGGTCCTGCTGGGTAGCTGGGTCCTTCTCAGCAGTTGGGTCCTGCTCAGCAGTTGGGTCCTGCTCAGCAATAGGGTTCTTCTCAGCAATTGGGTCCTGCTCAGCAGTTGGGTCCTGCTCAGCAATAGGGTTCTCCTCAACAGTTGGGTCCTGCTCAGCAGTCGGGTCCTGCTCAGCAGTTGAGTCCTGATCAGCAGTTGGGTCCTGCTCAGCAGTTGGGGCCTTATCAGCAATAGGGTTTTTCTCAGCAGTTGGGTCCTGCTCAGCAGTTGGGTCCTGCTCAGCAGTTGGGTCCTGCTCAGCAGTTTGGTCCTTTGAGTATATAATCACCATCACTGTCATGTGATGAGTATATAATCACCATCACTGTCATGTGATGGGTATATAATCACCATCACTGTCATGTGATGGGTATATAATCACCATCACTATGATGTGATGGATATATAATCACCATCACTCTCATGTGATGAGTATATAATCACCATCACTATGATGTGATGGATATATAATCAACTAAAATCACTTGATTGCTTAGTTGCAAATCATCAAGAAGACAGGAATTCACCTTGTCTTTTTAGAGGAGAACGTTTCAGGTCGACAATCCTAGAAGGAAGAACTATCAGTTAATAATAATAAATTCACGGGAGACACTTAAACCTAAAATTTACAAAATGTAAGACAAGTTAACCTAAAAAGCACAGCAATACTGGCCTATCTGTTTACAATCTCAAGGAGATAACAACTGAGTGTGGCATTTAAGCTAAGCTTCTGTTTGGAAATATTAAGGGACTCTAAAATTCTGAAGTGTTATCGGAAACAGTGACTGCGCATTGCTCTACAAGAATTCTAACAGCTGAATGAGGGGGATGCATAAGTAGATTTCCTGTTCGAAACCTCTTTCCTCCATGCTGCGCCACTCTAGGATAAACAGTTTCTCGGTTTTAAATTCCTTGTATATAATGTAAAATTTAAATATTTTAATTATCTTTATAAATGTGAGGTAGAGAAGAGCATCTTAAAAATCTTATTACTTATATAAAAATATTTAAATCCATCAACTTTCAGGCCGAATAATCTACGATTAGTTTAATTTTGTAATTGTTGATACTCAATTTTGTGGAGAAAAAATGATTTAATGTGATATTATTGTACATATAGCGAGTTTAACATACAATTTGCAAAAATTTTGTGCGGAATGAATAAATTGTTTTGGTGCAGTTCGGCCCAGCATTATAAGGCGTATCAGTGCTACGTCCGCTCTGTACTAATGCTGTAGGCTAAAAAGTGTGTCATTGTTTAGACAATACATGACTCGATAATTTTCTGATTGAAGCTTTAATTTCTATGCCGCCACTACCGTCCACAACTTGACGTGGAAAGCATGAAGCATGTGAAAGCGTTTCGTGAGAAGGGGTGGCCATGCAACACATGATTGCTTTTACTCCTTGCAGGAAATAAATGATTGATTTAAGAAGAATTAGTCGTTGACTTCTTCTTAAAGAGTCTTCCTTGTTGACCAGACTCAGTCGTCAACCAACAACCGAGTCATTTAAATTCTTTCATAAAAGCGTACTCAATTCTTCACGAATGGTGAACATCAGTAATTGCATTAAATACATTTATTTTTATCTTGCTTCATTAAAAAAAATTCGCCCAGCTTATACTCTGGTAGAACTTTCCCTTCTATTTGCACTAACAGAGTCACGCTGAGAATAGATATTTCAACAATACGCGCAAAGGCTCTCAAATATTTTTGGGGTGCAAATGGAATAAAAAGTCACGATTTACAGTACATATACCTAGTAATTAAAAGTAATAATATACGTTTAAAAATTAATTTTTAAAGATAACACTTCTAAAAAATCCAGTGTCTCCAATGTAAAACATTTACAATGAATTTCTAATTTTAATTCGAATATTTAAAAAAATAATTTTTTAATTATTTTAATACACAAAAGAAATTAAATTTTCAAAATTACATATTCTGTCAATTGATTCATCCATTGTCTCCGACTTTACGCAAGTCTGCAAAATTTCAGATCGATTGGAGAAGTAGAAGTGTGTTAAAAATCGATTATAAGATATGTAGCAGACAAACAGA